CACACACACACACACACACACACACACACACACACACACACACACCAGTAGGATAAAGGAATTTCCTACGGACACCAGCCTCCCTCTTCCCCTCCCTCTTCCTCCCGCCACCAACAAAAAAAATGGCATCCGGTTCTCACCTTTGGAATAGTAGCAATGACCTCCCCAACCTTGAGATCTCTGGAGGCAACGACCCCAAACCCAGACACCGACTTCGGGCTGAAATGGATCCCATCTGTGTATCGGATTCCGTTCAGGGCCATCCATCTTATGAACGCGTCCAAGAAGCTGCAAATTGGAGACAAGACAAACCAGAATGAAAGCATTAGAAATAAAATAAAATAAAATAATACACCGGAAACTTCCACAAACAGACATCAATGCCAGGAAACTTCCACAAACTTTCAGGCTTTAAAAAGAAGTCCAGGAGGCATAGCAACCCATCCGAAGAAAAAGAATGGCTGACTGACTCCCTGGAGATATTCCAAGTCTGAAGCCGACCAATACAACAACCCGGGCTTAAAATAAAAAAAAACTAAAAAGGATGCCATTCTCTGTATCGGATCTCGTTCAGGGTCACATCCATCTATGGAACGCGTCCAAAAAGCTGCAAAGAAAATTCGGAGAAACGAAAAAACAGCAGCGAAGAATCAGAGAGAATACACCGAAACTTCCACAAACAGACAGCAATGCCAGACTTTTTCCCCAAACTGACGTGATTAGCAATCAATCGTACATGAGGGAGGCAATCTAAAATGTCCAAACTCTCTCTTAGCTACCGTGTTGGCCCGAACACAACGCACCCTGATAATCAATGTATACAAGCCAGCTTTCCGGTCCGGTGCAGCCAAAATGAGGGTGCGTTGTGCGCCGGGGGAGAAGACGGCAGCAGCTGCTGTGAGATTATACGGCTGCAGGGTTCGACCCCTCCACCACTCAGTAAATCAAAGATGAATAAAAAAGAGATGATGTGTATGAGGACAGGCGCGGTCAGTATCATGTTAAGCGAAGAGGCGAAGCACGCATCTTCGACGCCTTGACCTCATCGAGCACATGCTGATTCCTCCCTCTCATTTTTTGTCCATTCTAATCCTTAATTCCCTGTGTCTCTGCAAGAAAACCTCTCTCTCTCTCTCTCTCTCTCTCTCTCTCTCTCTCTCTCTCTCTCTCTCTCTCTCTCTCTCTCT